AGTATCCTAGAATTTTTTCAGTTTCCCTCTCCATTGGACTAGTTGGAGGAGTTGCATTATCAGTGACATTAGTTTATTTTGCAACTGTGAATATGTATGAAGCATGGTCTTGGCTCAACAGCTTCCTAAAACTGGTAAAAAATGAGCTGACATATGTGTAATTACTTATTTGGCTGAGAGAGATAGGACATAATGAAGATCATTGCCCTTTACCCTTTTGCAATTTAATATATAACAAAGCCCCAATCCCCACCACCAAATGCAGAACCACTTCCCACAAACAAATTTATAAATTGCCCAGTCCCCACCACCAAATGCAAAACCACATTCCTACAAACAAATTTATAAATTGCCCAGTCGGCCAATCCCCACCACCAAATGCAAAACCACATTCCCACAACCAAATTTATAAATTAACAACCATTAACAAACTCCTTTGCAATTTCAATTTTGTCCCACAAGTCCACAACACAACCACAATCACAAACAATAGCAATTTCAGTAAAGCAATTTAAACAAACAGTGAAATAGACCCAATACACGGCAGACTGCTTTTCACAGATAGTACACAAACATTAACCTTGTATGGGTTTCACAGCAACACCACCACAGTCAACCACCACAACTAGAGGTGTTCATAAGAACTGTTCGAAACAAGAACCGTTGGGTACCCAGTGTTTGGTTCTGGTTCCTACCTAGAACCGATCGTCAACGAGTAGGTTCTGGTTCCAAAAATCTGGAACCGACACTGTACGGTTTAGATTCTGATTCCTATAGTCAAGAACCAGAATCGAGAACCGAGACTGAAATGAAATGTTATTAAAGAGTGGGGGGGTTATATAATTTACCTGCCACATATAAAAACTTCAGATTAGGGCAAAAAAAATCATTTTCTTTCTTCCCTTCTCACGATCTTCATCTGCTCTTACTGCTCTCTGTCCACTCACTTCAGATTAAGGTAAAAACTTCAGCTTTTTTTTCTTTGCAAAAAAATTCATTTTCTTTCTTCCCTTCTCACGATCTTCATCTACTCTTGCTCTCTGTCCACTCACTTCAGATTAAGGCAAAAACTTCAACTTTTTTCTTCCTTTAATTTGCTTGGTTTTGTGAAACGTGATCCTTGGAATCTAGAAGAAGACACTAAAGCACTCCAAATTCTTAAGGTAATTTCCATTTCTTTCTTTTAATTTTATTTTTGAATTTTAACTTGATCTACAGATCTAGAGTAACTTAATTTTTGCTTTAATTTGAATTCTAAATAGTTTCAGTTGCACACATTTTACATAGAAATTCCCTCAATGATTCGTGAAAAGTGGTTGTTGATTTCTTAGCATCTCTCTCTGTGTGTGCGCAAAACCCCAATATCTCTATTATTCTATTGCAGTTGGTGTATTTTGTACAAAAATATAATCATGCTTCAAAACCTCTTATTTTAACATTTGATGTGATTTGATTGCCAGTGAATAATATTGGAGTTAACTTTTGTGGATATTAATAGATTGTTGGACATTCATTGGGTGGAGAAACTGCAGCTCTTTTAACATATGTATTGTGGGAGCGAAAGGAATTATCAACAACAACCTGTTTTACATTTGCTCCAGGTTTGTTCTTTTTGTTCTAAGACCATGGAAGAGTTAAGATTTAATTTTGGGAAGAGTTATTTAATTACTGCCTTATTTTGGGAAGAGTTTAGATTTAATTTTGAAGTTCCCTTGAGGATTACTTGATGGATGCAAAAAGTTATGACTCAGGTAACAAATAATATCAATATTTTATATTCATATTTGGTTAATTTATTCCCAAATTATTTTGTTCAATATTTTGAACTTACTAATTAATTTTCTTGTATTTGTTTTGTAGAAATTAATGCACATGAGGTGAGCAATTTAGAGCATAGAGCATGAGATATTTTTAGTTTTTCATATTTTGATGTTGTTAATTGTTATGTTACTAATTTTATATGTTATGTAATTTCATCAATTTAGTTTTGGAGTTTATAATTTTGAATTTGTGATTTTCAACGGATTATTGTAATATTTTAATTTTGAATTTGTGATTTTCAATGGATTATTTTAATTTTAGAGTTTGAAATTTATAATTTTAATTTTGTTAATAAGTGCCAAGTGCGGGGTATTTGTAAGTTTTTAAGATTTTTTTGTCATTTTAAAAACTTTGGGGGGGGGGGGGATATAATGAATTTTACAGGGTACCCAGAACCGGAACCGTTGTTACAAGTTTTGGTTCTAGGTATCTAGGAACCGGAACTGTCGGTTCTGGTTCCAGTTCCAAAATTCAAGGAACCATCGGTTCCGGTTCTGGCTCTGGTTCCTTCTAAAAGTGTAGGGTACTCGAAACTGAACACCCCTAACTACAACTGTAAATAGTCTGCTCTTCCTTGAATTCTTTCACCAGAAAAAACCCCCTGTTACAGACAAAGAATTCACAAAAAAACAACTTCAAATTTCATTGACATCGTTCACTTTTTGTCAATCACAGAGGGGTTTCACAAGCTACCAAATCGAAGAACAAAACCAAAACAAACAACCTTACTTCTAAAGTATTTATAGACTTTGAAGAAACTCAATACTCACCGATTAAAATCCGATGAAGATGATGAAGATCCGACGAAAATTTTGTGCTGATGATGGAGAAGAAAATCTTGAGTTTGGGAGGAGTTTCAAGTTTCAACTTTTACGGCAAGGGTTCATCTGGCGAAGGAATTCGACGATTTGGGGATTTTAATAACGGGGGACATTTTATTATTTTTTAAAACTTGTGATGCATAATTACTAATTAAATCCCAGTACTTCAGAAAACCTCAAAAAAACCCCTGGTATTTCTAGCCAGGCTCGGCTCGCGAGCCTAACGAGCCGAGCCAAGAATGGCTCAAACTCGGCTCGTTCTATCTCACAAGCCAAGTCGAGCTAGCTCGTTATCAGACGAATCGAGCTGTTAACGAGACGGACTCAAGTCAAGCCAAGTCAACTCATGAGCAGCTCAGTTCATTAAGCAGCCCTGGGAGTAGGTGTTGTACAGTAACGCGTATGCTTTGCCAGCAACTCTCTTGACCAAGCCCAATCTTAAGTGTACTTTAACTTAGCCCACCTCTCTCCCATTTAATATTTATTGAATTTTTAGGCCTATGCCATTATGTTTATTGAACGGGGCCCAAATAAGTAAATAAAAACCTTTAATTTTTGTTTACTACATTAAGTAAATTATATATCTTTTTTATTTTTTATGGGTTAGCCGAGTGGTAAATGTTTGGGGTCAATGGGTTTACTCCCCCTGTGATCTCATATTCGAATCACAAGAATAGTTACTAATACTGTTGGCCAGACCGCAAGGCTTACCTTGATTCAGAAGTCTTTTTCAAGATCAGGGGACTAGTGCGCATAAGTTAGTCTAAACATCCTAGATAACAAAAAAATAAATTATATATTTCAATAATATTCCTTTTTTATTTTCTTATCGGCATACTATCCTGACATTTAATTTAATTTTTAATTTTTTCCAGTATTTTTATAGACATAATAACTATAGCTATATAAATATAATAGTTATATTTTCATTTTAAAAAAAAAAAAATTAAAAGTTCTTTCACTCACTTGTTTTAGTTGATTAATGTCTTCCCCTGTTTTTTACATCATATAATAAGGTTCTAAAAAAATGATAAGCTAAAAAAATTTATCATTTTTTTTTTTATGCTGAAAGGGGCGTGCATGATTCTTGTTTCTTAGCACCACGTGACCAATTTAGCGTATAAAATAGTCATTAATTGCTTAATTTTTTTAAAATGAAATTAAGAGTAAACGACTTTTTCCCACCCAAGGTTTGCCATAATAAATTTTTCCACCAAAAAAAATTTAAAATACCATTTTTTCACCCAACGTTTATATTCTGTTAATACCTAAAATATATTTCACTTTTTCAGCCAAAATTCGGCAAGTTAATAGAACCTAAGGTAAGAGAAATTTTATAAAGTGGAGATCGATAGATCGGATAGTGGTAATCGATTAAATATTTGTCATCGGAATAAGCTAGAAATTAGTTAAAAACAAGAAACTCTATCTTTGCAATAATTGGTAATTTACGAAAAATCAAATATCGAAGTTAGAGAGGTTTTATAGAGAGAACATCGCATATTCAAATGGTGATTGGCCCTAATAACCCTAATTGGATAGTAACAAAATATTGAAAAAGTGATTTGAAACTTTTTTGGTGAAAAAATTGTCCAAACCTTGGTGGGAAAAAGTCGTTTACTCTAATTGATATTTTTAAAACATGACGTGTGGGAAAACGATGATAGAGGACAGGCATGTGGCTGCTGAATACACGTAATATTTAAACAAGTGAAAAAGGGGCAGCCGCTCATTTTGAAAATTTTCCGAGACGTGAAAAGCATCCCCAGTTAAAACTAAAAGCGCAAAAGGACGAATAAGAAATTGCCATATTACTATTTGAGTTATGACTATTCTTAAGAGCCCTTTAGTTTATTGATTTTAACATTACGTACTTTTCAATTTTCATTCGCTTGGTATAAGCCAAGGGAGATCGTCGGTGTTGATAGTTAGAGAGCAATTTAAATCATTATTATTGACAGTTTGTATAAATTAATAATACATTTTCAATCATCCAACTCTTTATTATTTAATATAGGTTTTTATATTATTAAAATACTTACATTAATACATAATTCATGTGTTTATCACAAAATAATCGCACTAATCTATAGGTAAAACTTAATGTACTTTTATTTGTTTTGTGTCTTAAACTCACACTTTAACATAAACATTTAATATAAAATCTAAAAATAAACAAAACTAATCAATCCTTATTTTGTCAAATAATCAATCTTATATTGAAATTTAAATATAAGATTACGTTTTATTTTTAATTTCACTAAACCTTTGGGGAGGAAAGTAGGATTATTAGAATCTTAGTTAAATTACGTTTTATAATAATTAATTAGAGGCAGCAGCACCTCGCATCTGTGGCATAACATAAGTTCCATTTTGGATGCTCTGGTGGATTCTCTCGTGTCACGTCTCTCTTTATAAATTGACCAGCACCCTTCCTTCGATCTACAACACTACCCATTTTTTTGTTCGAAGAAATTACGCATTCTTTTTAGACAAATTACAGGCGAGATTGATGGTTATGTGAAAAATGGTGAGGTTGGTTGCGCACGTCAACTGTTTGATTTGTTGCCTAACAAGGATATTTTTACTTGGAATTCGATGATATCAGGCTATGTGGGATATAGGGGATATGGGGACAGCACAATGGTTGTTTGATATGATGCCATTCAGGGATTGTTTTCTTGGAATTGTATGATTGAGGGTATGCAAAAATAGGAAATGTTACATTAGCTCGTGACTTTTTGACAGCATGGCTATGAGGAATGTGGTGTCTTGGAATATAATGTTGGCTCTTATGTCCGATGTAAGGATTATAACGAGTGTTTGAGACTTTTTGATAGAATGATAGAAGGAGGGGAGGCTAGGCCAAATAAGGCGTCTCTTTGAGTGTCTTGACTGCATGTGCAAATTTAGGGACGCTTGATAAAGGTATGTGGACTCATTCATACATCAAAAACAGTAGAATTGAACCTGATGTGTTACTGTCAACTGCTCTGCTGACAATGTATGCAAAATGTGGGGCCATGGATTTGGCTAGTAATGTTTTTATGAGATGCCTGAGAAAAGTGTTGTGTCATGGAACTCTATGATCGTGGGATATGGTATGCATGGGCAAGGAGAAAAAGCCTTAGATATGTTCACGGAGATGGGAAGAGAGGTTCAACACCAATGATGCTACTTTTGTCTTGTTTTGCAGCGTGTACGCAGGAGGAATGGTATTGGAGGGTTGGTGGTACTTTGATCTTATGCACGAGTTTACAAGATTGAACCGAAGGTGGGAGCACTATGGGTGCATGGTTGATCTTCTTGGCCGGGCTGGTTTGATGAAAGATTCAGAAGAGCTAGTTAGAAAGATGCCTATGGATGCAGGACCAGCCTTGTGGGGAGCTTTACTTTCTTCTTGTAGGACCCACTCAAATTCAGAACTTGGAGAGCTTGTGGCAAAGCATCTAATGGAAATGGAACCAAGGGATGTTGGCCCATATGTGGTGTGTCTAACATATATGCCTCAGAAGGGAAATGGGATGATGTAGAAAATGTGAGAAGGTTGATGAAGGAAAAGAGTTACATAAGACAGTGGGCTCAGCTTGGTTCCCCTAGGAGAATTTGGTTCTGAATCTACTGTGGCAAATATTCTGCCCATAGGAGAACTATCGTATACTCCATGTTAGGTGAAATAGGTACCAGATGAAATTGTCTGGTTGAATTGCTTTGGGTTCATGATTCACAAATTGTTTAAATTGAAGCTTTGTTCTCAATATGTTGTACATTATTGACATGAAATTTGGGGAAGAGAACTGTTAATAACACGAAAACGCCTCTTCCCTTCAAGAAGGCTAACAATTGTCTGGGGTCTTCAAGATAGGAAGCAGGAACTAAGAGCACTGCAGCACCGTGCAATTGTTGTCTATTGAAATCTGCGCACCAATCACAGAAACCAACTTGAAGCACATTTGCAACCAGCTTCCAAAAAGATTAGCAAGGGTCTCAATGCAGAACTTGTTAGACACACCACAACATTGGGTGTGAGGGACAGAATGAGCGGCGGGCGGCCCATAATGTGTGTTAACACCAGGGTACTTTATATAGAGCAGGCAGCAGATCATTCAACAAACACGAAGGGCCTGTTTCTATTAAACATACAAACTTAGAAGAGTTTCTGTGTGGTTGCAGGCGGTATGGCTTATAGTGCTAATTCTTATAAATTATATAATGAGATGTTCTTCTACCATTTGTAATGCAAGATTCTAACATATGGTATCAAAGCAGATTTTAGATTACAGAAACTTGACGGATGGTTAAAGAATTATGACTTCAGAAGGAACAGAATGAGAAGGGCATCAGCTCCAGATGGTGAACATATGGACATATTAAGTAGCAAATTTGCCCTTGTAGATAGGTTTGAATATCCAACCGCTATTAGTCAAAATAAAGCTATCGCAGCGTGCGGCATATTTTCTTGTTTTGTACATGGAGTCTAAAGTAAATCCCCTAAAGAATCAATGGGAGGTGTACAATAATTCTAGTCGTTATACTTTTGTTTTTATTTGTTTGATAATGGTCCTGACGTTGTTCATACAATAATTCCAAGGCTTATCGTAAAAGTATATTTATGTCTTTTTCTTACCTGGTATGTTTTCGTTCTCATTCTAAATCAAAGCAGAAATTTGGACTTAGTTAATACGAAACTAAATCCATTGTCAAAATATATAATATTAATTTAGTGGAAGTACAAGTACGTAGTATTTAAGCCAAAAACATCTGCCTTAAACTGTTTGTCACTAATTATGGTGGAGAGGGCTAACCAAGTCAACACGTTGACAAGATCATTTTATTTATTCTTTCTGCATAATCCAATTGTGAAACTGGAAACGGTGCTGTGGCTATAGATTTACCGTATAAAGTAGCAAGGTAATTCGAGATTATTAAATGGGATTCAATAAGACATATATTTTATACGTTTTCAGATCAGTGTTATTATTAGAGATATAGTTAACTATCATCAGATTAAGTTGATTTAAATGCCGTATACCGTAATCTAAATCTATTCATAGTTATATCCCATATATTGAAGCAGCAAATGGTTTTTACTGGACGTATGGCCGGTGGCCGTTACAAGTAAGCACTAAGGAGACGTCAACGTCCAATATGACTGCCAGTACGTATTTATAAGAAAACTGGAATTTATTAGTCAACAATACAATCATACATTCACGACTTTATCTAGTTAAATGAATGAAAATCAAAGTATCAGAGATTTATTTTATATAGCTTCTTGAAGGAAAAAAATAGTATGAATTTTGGCGCTTAGTTATTGACTTGGACGCCTGTGTCATATGTTTGTCCAGCTTTCCAGTCTTGGGGTATATGTTTACAGGAACTACCCACGAATCATCTCCGTCATCGGCGCTAAACAGCAACTCAGAGACAGGGGACCACTCGGTGGTGAGGTTGTTGTCCAAAATGCTCCATAACTCCTATCAAGAGCTTGCAAAAAAGTTTTGAGTCTGCATAGTTCACAACCTTTTCATTAGTATAGTAGCAGGACATGATTGGATTATTACATATTTTTCGTGTGATTAGAGTTATATCTTCTTTTTAAATGTATGAAATTAAGTTTCTGCATGGCAGGTTCAGAATAATAATAAAAAAAATCGTTAATTGTACCTCACATAGCTGCACAGCAGTGATATCGTTTTGCCTTGTTGATACCATAACGAGAAAGCTAAATAATGAGGGTGCTGCTGTTCTCATCGATCTTAAAGTTATATCTTCCCGGGTAGCTGCAAGAAACACTGTTCAACCAAACCCCAACTTTATGAGTAGCTAGTGCATGAATCATCATGAGGTATGCCTTTAGTTTGTCTCTTAGAAGCAAGAACTATATAGAAATATATTTAATATTATCTTTGCAAGTTTCTCATTATCATACATGTTCAGTTCATAAGCAACTTAATGTAAGAATATATATTGGAACCTCACCGTCTATATTCAATATCAACCAACCAAGTCTAATATAGATGCTGCTGCATCAGAAGTTTGAGCCATCCGACCAAAGGCTCTCCTGCTTAGAATGAAGTCCGTACGGTCACTCGAGCCTGAATCAGTGATAACTATGGTTACTCCTTTGTCTGAGCAATAGTAAATGTCCTTGCACCTCACCTATTAATACAAAGTAAAAATATATAGTAAATATCAATTTCATGTTAACCATGATATTGGAAAGCTTACAAATCCCAATATGTGTTGTTCAGGGATATACCTGATAGCAAGCACACACAGCCAACACCATTGCGGTAGAGATCCGATGCAGCTGATACATCTCCACCATTAATGTTGCTCCGAATGAACCATACCCGCAAGCACCAACTGCAGTTTCGTCAAAAAATATCAATGAGATTGTGGCATTATAATATCAAAAAATACTCATTTAAGTGATTGTTTTACTATGCTATTACCATCTGTTCCATTGTCATCGGAATTGGGTAGTAAGCTGCTCGTGATTGAAAACAGTCGCTGCATGTTGCAGCCTCAGCCAGAGTTTGGATAAGAATAAAGTTGCAAAAAAGAACAAAAAGGATTTAAGAGCCATTGTAGGACAAATTAAAGAGCAAATGCAATGAAAAGCTAGCAAGCAATTACAAGAAGAAACAGAATAAGGTGGTAGTGCATAAAGTGAACGAGGTTTGTCGTATTTATAATGAGAATAGCAAGTTTGGTAGACCTTTCCAAGTTGATATTTGCTTTAAATAAATATATTAAACAAGTTGAAAGGGAATACATCTACCAGGATTGTTTTTAGATATATCTAAGACTTTCATAATTACTTGTTTGGGCATGTGTACAAAACTAATTCATGCATCTTTGACCATCAATTAATTATATTGCATTCTCCTTAATTTGCAGAACTGAATTACTGGATTCAATAAGTGTCAAAAGTCAAGTTGTCCGTAGTTGAATTCAAAGTTTCATCACTATTCTTCTACATGGTTTATTTTATTTATTAAGCCGTTATTCTCTAATGAAGACTTTAATAAATAAAGCATATATAGACAGATAAGCATAAAGAGAAAACATTTGATTGATCGCTCTTAGTTGATTTTCAGATTTTGTACATATTGGCTACAGTATACCGAGCAGGAACTGATCAATGGTGTTTGACCCTCATGACTTACCTAATAAGAGAAGGTTGAAAGTTATTAATCTGAATCCAAGAAGTTGAGTATACTTGGAATAAAATTTTGCTAACTGTTTAGTTAAGATAAATGAGTTTGAATTGACAAGTTACTGGATTAGGTGGTTTTGCACTGAAGACCTTAACCATAGGTTAGGCATCTCTTCATCATGATGAGTGTCCCCCACGATGTGAATATGACTACAAGGGCTGCCACCAAATTGTTCAAATAGTTAAGCGCTCTGGTCCCGGCCCGAAGCTGGAAAGGAACCACCCATATCACATTAATATTAGTTCAACAAAAGCTTGCTAAAAAACACCCAGAGCTA